TTTCAGGTAAAACCGGATTGTGTGACAGACAGACAAACATACATACAAACAAACAGACACACCAAACTTGTGGATTATATATAGTAGAGATAGCAAATTTCTTGCCTTCGGCATGATTTATTCAGGTCGAGCACTGTGCAGCGCACTGTGCAACCCCTTGCAGCCCCTGTAAGCCTTCTTCAGGTTCCTGATGAACTACTAGTTTGGATTTTGAACCGCTTCCTTGATCATTTTCAGCGGACAATGTAAGTTGGAAACCTGCAACAACAAAATCCGTAAAAAATACGTAAGATTGGAAACTTTTATTTCATTGAGATGTGATAAGAAAGAAACTACCATTTATTAAAGATTGGATGAAACCGAGTGAAAAAAAAGTTGTAAGCTGCAAGTTGAAAAAGGTGTGTGGCTGAGCCCACACCTATTTGCCATTCCTGATACTGATCAGTTACAAATGCGCCATTCCTTCTTTGGATGATGAACGAGATTAGTGAAATGAAACTACACGTAAAAGAATGAGTAGCAAATGTACGAAATGGTGACGAGAAGTGGCAGGCCCTTCGATATGTGAACGCGGTTGTGGTGCAGAAGGAACGAAAACGCGTCGCGGCGAGAGAGATGTCGCGCGCTAGGAATGTAGCAGAATGCAGCAGCAAGTAAGAAATACGGGAACAAAAGAACTAACAGTAGAATCATGTCAAAAGTAATAATTGCATAGCGATCGAGCTGTATGAAGAACGCTAGAACTGTTATAATGAGGCAAATGGTTCGCGACAGCCGCGTGCGTGGGATCGACCACACAAAACCATTCCTACTGCCTGTCTCCCTGCAAACGCTGCTTCGTAATCGAGTTAACTCGTGCACGGCACGCCCCACAGCGGGCTCCGCCCCCTACTCCAGGCGACCTACGCACGTGAATCGCACATACCCCAATTCGTATGCCCCGATGACAAGTGCGACATCTGTCAAAGATCGCTGGATGGCAACCGTGTGCGACGGGTGCTGCGTGACCTAGTTTCGACGAACGCGCGGAACGAAGCACATACGGGAATTGCAACAGTTGGCCTAACGCTGTAACACGGTGCGGTAACTCAATGGTTAGAGAGGTTTTTTATTTCTGCGAAGGGCCTTGCTATACATTCCACTACTTTGACCCATGAACCACGACCCTTTTGTTAGGCACCTATTCCTCTAAAGACTTCCTTCCATCTATACGCTATTTCCTCATGTTTTTTTTTTATATCTCTGCCTTCTACTTGTCATTGATAATGAAAAATGCAATGACCTTCGAATTTTTGCATTTGATCAATGTTTTATTGCACTTTAGTGCATAGTAAGCAAGGCAGGACCGAGAATTATCGCTAATCAAGGGAAAGGATGGCTTGAAAGAGTTACCAACAAGGGAATCGCGTTAAACTTTGGGCACAGATGTCACACGTTGAAGCACACGCGCCCTAACGGCAATGCTACTGCGCCAAACCATCGCCTCCACTAAGGGTCCCGCCACGGGCTGATCGATCTTTCACCGGCCGTGGCCGTTGAGGGCGGTCTGTTAGGGGTTTGAAATATATGGGTAGGTTATTGATCATTTTGCGATTTTTGGTCTTTTTTGAAAATCGTTAAGTTGTCATCTGGATAGCGAGGAGTTATTGTAATGTTTGGGATATATGTAGCTTGTATCTCGAGCTACTTTTTCGTGTATTTCTGCCAATTGAGTCATTTCTGCTGATTTAAATTGAGCGAAACTCCCAGATTCCAATAGGCAGGAGCTCTGCGAACCACCTTTTGTCTGTAATACTAATATTATATTACATCGCTCTCCTTTAAATTTTCTCGGTCGCTTTTAAAATTTGTTTTAAGCATGCGACTACTTGTGGTATTAATCGCAGTATCATCGGTAACAGCACATGATGCCGTTGTATTCTCTAATGACCAAAAAATCACGTAAGTGAATCGAATCCATCGTTATATTTGTTTCATAAAATTATATTTATCTTCCTGCCGAGTTTATATTCTCGA